TTGGGCACTCCAGGGATACTCTGCCGTTGGGCACTGCAGGGATACTTTTCGGCTGGGCCCTGCAGGGATATTTGGTGGTTGGACACTGCAGGGATACTCTGCAGTTGGGCACTGCAAGGATACTTTGCAGTTGGGCACTGCAAGGATACTTTGCGGTTGGGCTCTGCGAGGATACTTAGTGGTTGAGCACTGCAGGGATACTTTGCGGTTGGGCAGTGTAAGGATACTCTGCGGTTGGGAACTGCAGGGATACTCTGCGGTTGGGCACTGCAGGGATACTTGATGGTTGGTCACTAAAATCAGCTTCCAGTCGGGCGAGGACAACATCTACTTTAGAATCTAACAACCCCACTGCGAGGGTGGGGAAAAAACAAAGCACCCTCCGACGTGGCACTCCTCCGACGCCCTCTTTCGAGTTCCCCCATGTTCTCGGGTTATGACGTTGGAAAGGATTGAAGAGAGGTGCACTCGGTAGTGCTCGTTACCCGCATATACACATCAGACAGCACAGCCTTTGATTCAGAGCCTGTTTTTGCAGCCGGTGTCCTGTCGCTGACCCCTTGAACGAGACAAACACCAATCAGTAAATCTGGGATGTGGGTTGTTCGGTCACACATTATATCTGTGACCGGGGAGCGACATGCATCTAACGCTAACTTCTTTTGCAAGAGGCTTCCCGATTCCTCCCAAAACGCCCCGCTTTGCAAGGAGAACAATTGCCCAATACCTTCCAGATGCGCAACAAACTACGTCAGGCATGGGGCTGGCATTCTTGGTTTCGCGGCTACGCGCTCTAAAGCTTCGCTGCCCGCTTGCAGTCCCTGCCACTGGCTGGCACTGTCAATGTCGTCTGTACTGCCGCCTGCCTAGGGTGGGTCCACGCTTCTTGATCTGAACAAGTTTTGCGGCAACTTGCGCGGTGCCAGGCCGAGGGATGCCGCCAGCCCCTGTCTGTGGGTTGCACCTGAGCACCTGCGGGTGCTGCTGGGCGATGAGGCATGCACGGAATTACGAACAATGGACCCACGTCCCCATTGCCGCCCATGGTCGCTTCACGCAAACCGAATGCTGGTGGCGGCAGCGGTGGTGGCGGCGGCCTTCTAAGAGTCTCGAGGGTCCATGCGGAGGGCGTCATGCGGGCGCCTTGTTTGTCAACGGGTTTCTTTGCACGCAACACTACTCAACGTGCACGGCGCATCGTTGACATTTCACACACAGCTATTTTCGAAAGCGGGCGCCGGGACAGCCGCTTTGCAGCACTGATTCCATTCGTGCACAGTTTTACAGCCGGCCAAGCAAGCTGGCCTTTGTTGGACGGTTCCTCATATGCCTCCGGCCGCGCGCGCGATGTTTTCCAAACAGAAGGGAAGGAACAGGCGGCCCGTTGCTGTAATGCTGGGGTTGTTTGCAACGCCCATCCACCCAGCGCTTGTTGCTGCGCAGGCCACTGGAAGGATGGCTTGTGTGCATGGGTCCAGGACCCCACCCCCACTCCCCCTGGAACAGCAAGGCCCCCACCGGGGGCACGTCAATCTCAGAAAATGCTTTTGGCTGCCAAGCAGTGCCAGCACAACTCGTTTCTGGATAATTAGTTGCCGGGCCAACCTGATTTTGAGATTGTTTGGCTGCTGCTACGTGCGCGTGCAACCCTTGAAGCCCTCCGTCACCGGTGGCCACGACCGTGCGACCGTGCGCTGCCCTGAGCGAGCTCTTGGCGTTTCAACACACGAAGCTGTCGCTACGACTCGGTCATCGGTGCTTGTAGCGGCCGCATACCGCCCGCCCGGGTGTGCCAGGGCAGATGAGTGCGGTATCAAGACGGAAATGGGCCCACGATGCTCATGACGCTGACTCCTTGGGAGAAATGCGCGCTCCCAGCGATATTTGCGGCTCTAAACTGTTGTTGTCAGCACTTGCGTTGCATGATAAGAATGCCAGCGCACCTGCATTGCTCGGGCCAGACCCTGTAAACTGCGCATCTTGCGCGGTGAGAACAAGGTTTTTGCCAGTAGTCCCAGCACTTGAGAGGCTCCTATGCTACCCTGGTACACCACCTGTGTAAAAAAAAAGTGGCTTCTGAATTGCAACAGAGGGATATTGTGGGTCGGATCATCAAACTTACGTAAAAAACAACCTCAAGCACCTTGGCTGGTTTCTCGTAGTTTTTCTACCCAGAGATGGGGTCCAAATTGTGCCGATGATGCTTGTGCCAGGGTCGCACGCGCGCACGCCCTGTCCACGAGCATCATCGGCGCAATTGCGACCCCATGTTGGGGTCAGTCTCGGGTAAAGTAGAGAGAAACTTCTCCCAATCAGGAGCTTCAGCAAGGCAGGCTGGGGTGGGCTGGATTCCACATGATGGCTGGATGGACGGAGGGGCAGCAGCCAGCCGGCAAGGCCCGAAATAGATAGGAGTGAAATGACATATGCTTGGAGGCTATTACGAGCAACGCGCAGCATGCACAGCATGCGAGGGCTTGCCAGCTGCCATTGGCCAATGCAGAACACTCTCCGAAAGAATTGAAAACATCATCACTTTGATCGTCTCTTCAATCTCTATCCCACCCTTTCTGATACCCTGTTCCCTAACGGTGTTGCACTAACAAGATTTCAATCAAAAAGCGGCGGCAAATACCAGCTGTGAGAAACAGCGAAAGAAAGCGGAATTGCCATGTGCCCAGACTGTCCTTGCACTACTCGTGGCCTTTAGCATTGATCTGGTTCATCTGGTTTCAGGCAGCTTTTCACGGAGCTTCTCATGCAGGAGAATGTTGACACGCACCCGCGGAGTTGAACTCATATTGAAGCATTCAAACAAGCATGCTGCTTTGGCAAGCATGAAGCTTCAGATTGGCTGCTCAGCTCCCTCATCTATTGATTTTCCATCCTCGGTATGCTTCATGTGATCCGGGCAGTGTCAGGGCTTGTGGTGTGCAGTACGAAACATGCTTTCAAACTCTTTCAAACTCTCTTGAAGCGGTCCGTTCGATGAAGGACGTGTGCGCAATCCTTTTGGCGCTGCCGGCTGAAACAATGAAACTGTGCTGTCTCAAATGCCTGCAGAACAAACCAGCTTCGATTGCGATATGTCTCAGACTGGTCGTAACTTGCCGGTCTGATCCGCGCCGAGTGCCTGTACCGCTTGCGTTCAAGCATGGTACGAGCCTTGCAGCTGACTTCACAAGGTTTTCGGAAGTTGAATGGGACTTGCTCACTCACGGAGGCCACACGGCTCTATCAAATACCTGCCACGGCATCTAGCTCGAATTCTGCATCTGCATGTGCATTTCTTGAAAAACTACAGATCTTCTGAAACTACACGCGCACAGAGATGGCATCTCAGAGCTCCACTACAGCATCAACAGCTTAACTGGTTTTAGGAGCTCTGGCCACTCGGTTTTGGCTTTGGTGCGAGATGCGGGCTGACCTTTGGCCACGTCTGTACATGAAACACGAGCGCTCAGAAGGCTTCAGGGTTGAAATTGGTTGAAGGTGGTAAGGTTAGGGCATCCCTAGCCACGCGGCAGCGAACGCAAAGCTTCCTTGGCTTTCTTCAGGTGGCGTCGGCGCACTCTCAGCGCCGAGTCGTTGAAGCGAAGGGGTAGGGCCTAAGCACAACAGGAAATGACCCAAACCCTTCCACATGCTTCCACTGCACTGCAGGCAAGTTACCCCAGCAAGGTCGCTCCAGGCGGAGAGTGCATCGACTGCAGATGGCTCCGAGTCAGAGAGGTTGCACAGCCTGGGCTCCGCAATACAACAATTCAACCGCTTCTAAGGCTGCTAGACTCAAAGGCCGGCTGAATCTGCTAAGCAGCTGCACGGCCATTTCAAGAGGGCCTCCTCCGGTTTGTCCAGCCTGGATGGGCACGGCAACCTTGAGGTTCACCGTAGTCTGGACCCGGGACAAGTTGTACGGCCTGTCGCTGTACTGGTAGCCGGTGGCCAGTGCCACTCTTGCCTTGCTTTGACTACCTTGACTCTTCCCGCCGGTCCCCTCCGGAAGAAGGGATGCAGGCAGGCCCACGGCCACCGAGGTAAAGATATCTCGCAGGATAGTGTCCGTCTGTGTCGTAGAACCCGCCGGCGACATCAGAGCCTGTGCGGGAAGCCGCTTTAAGACCTGGGTGATGTCACTCCGAGTTGCGAAAAGCTTGCGCACTGCTTTGGAGGTGTCTCCCATGCGGTCACAAGATGTGCTGGAGATCTTGGACTGGGATGCGGTGGACGCACAGAAAGAGAAGGTGTCCTCCCCATCTTCCACATCCGAGATCAGATTATGCGGACTTGATGGGACACGGCATGCGATGAAGGTTGGTCCTCACTCTCTGCAGTTTGCTCGTCACTTTCTGCACTGCGAGCCGCACCTGGCGGACGAAAAGACAACTATCAGGAAGCAAAAGATGGCAAGGGGACATTTCGAAGCCCCAAGCAAGCCACGGCGGACTCGACACGCTCGCACCTTTGGTCGAGTGCTGTTCCTCCTGTCATGTGCCAGTCGTGTCAAAGACAGCTGTATGGACAGATTGCGCCTCACCCAGCTCGTCAGAGCCTGCTGAGTTCACTGAGACTTCGCTGCAGTTTGTCCACACCGGTCGAGGCTTGAGGCTTCCTCATTCTGCCCACCTCCACGCTTGCTGTCTTCCAGCATGGCCTCAAAGGCTTTCTCAGGCCTTCATGGCCTGCTATCACATCTAGGACACATCCTGATCTGATCCTGGGACCCAGACATGGGAACTGGCCGATGGGCCCAGTGGTTGGCAGTAGCCTGTTGGGACACGACGCTCAACCTTGGAAGGCAACACCAAACATCAGATTAGATGACTTCCCTCCAGGCTAAGTCTACAACCAACACAGGGCGTAGATAGCTGTCCACAAGGGCACTCAGCTTGCCCTGCACCTCAGAAGGCTTTGGGCCATTCTCACGCGAGTGTTCCTTGAACAAAGCAGGTGCGCATGCCCCGGATTGCACCTCTGTTGGGATCGCAGAGCTGAGGTGAACCATCCTGAACAGCCTGAGATCAGCAGAGCGCTCGACCGTCGGCAGGTGAGCCAATGGCAAAAAGTCGTGGCCATGTTGCGGCCAGGTGGCAGCCACAGCCGCTTTCGGGACTCTGTGTAACCGCTGGATAAGATGCCAGAGGCCAGGGCTGCTGACAATCCTGCCAGCATCATTCGAGCATCGGCGCTGTTGCGAGTGCAACTGTAAGTAGGTGCAGCCTCTGCGACGGGCATACAGCAGGGAGGCGAGCTCGATGCAGTTCTCACCTGGGGGCAAGAGGCATGCGTAGCATGGGCGTAGCATGGGCGTAGCATGCGGATGCTGCAGGCTACGACACTTGGCCTCCCAGGGCTTCCTGCTGCCACTGCGGTGGGCTGTGAGGGAGCAATGCCAACCTTGCAACATCGAGCAATCCTTGCAGCCTTGCAGCCTTGCAATCCTTGCAATCCTTGCAGTGCAGCAAACTCTCTTTGCTCAGCTTCACGAGTGCCAAGTGGCAACAGCTGCAGGCCGCTGGAAGCCAACCTCAAACTCAAACCAGTATTCAGTCCAGTCCTTTCAAACAGGGCAAAAACCGGAAAAGCTGACACACAAGTCACCCGGTTCTGCCCAGCCACCGACGCCGCAGCTGAGCTTTCCGAGGGTTCCGGTCTGAGGACAAGCGCTGCACCTTCCGAAGACATGGGTGATTGACATCTCCTGGCCGCAGCGGATGCAGAGCCAACCTCTGTTTTGATGCAGCGCGTCAGGTAGTCAATGTTTCGAATCACGTTGACACTCTGCAAGAAAATGTGAGCTCGCACCTGCACCTGTACTGGAAGGATATGTCACATGTGAGGGCTCCAGCTCACAGGGCTCACCAAGCTCCCCGCCATCCCGGTCTTACGGGAGGCGCTCTGCACCTGCACAGGTCTGCATCGTGGGGTGCAACTGCGAAGCATCGCGAAGCCATGCGGAGCTCTGCACCTGCTGCACGTCTTTGAGCAAGGTATCCTTCTGTTGCGACCTGGCATGTTCTACATTGTTCTCAGAAGCAATGCTGGGGCTGAGTTGCCGGTGCTGCTTCCTAGGAGCCTGACAATTCTTTCAACCGATGTTCTAGCCGCCGGCGGATGTGAGGCAGGTGTAGCCGCGAGTAATTCCGCAACAGCACCTGCACGTAGAATCATGCCATACCATATGCTTCCATGCCAGCCTTCTCTTCCTAGCGCAACTCACGTGAAGCAGCTTCTCAAAGGACAAGTAGCCGAGTTGGCCGCCCCGAACGCAAAGAGCCCTGCAGCCTCAGCGAGGAGTTTGAGCACAAGCGCGATCCGACCTGCTTGGTGGAGGAAAGTTCCCCACCCAACCGAAGTGATGCCAGGCTGCAGCAACCCCGCATCCTCAACTAGGCAAGCTGGAAGAGACTCGTTGCTGACAAAATGCAAGCTTGGTGCCCCACCCAGCAAGCCTATCACGGCCGCGAGGAAAAGGCCAGAGATGGTTGTAAATCTCGGAAACACAATTGGATCTGCATCTTTGAAAAAGTGGGAGCCAAGGCTGTGGACCCTGGGTTAGCTGGGAAAGCCGCAAAGCACAGGTTTTTAACACTAGGTGACGGTATCTAAGCAGGCGGCTCTGCAATGTTATCTGAAAGGTCCTTGGCTCGTTGATGGCAACAAGCAGCAGCACAAGTATTGCCTCGCTATTGTTCGAAAGCTTCTGTACGTCCCTCGCTAGGCGCCTAGCCACTTCCGAGAACCGCCGTGAGAGGGCTGCACCGTTTCCAGTCGCTGCCGCAGCAGGGACTACAGCCAGGGCACGCTGCGCCTTGCGTCAGGTACGAAGCGAATCGTGCACATATCTATATTTATATATCTCTACACAGCAATCTGCCAGCCTTCGATGGTAGTCGCAGCGCCTCCCGGAAGCGCGAAGCCACAGAGACCACATCTGCCCATCGCCACAGCAGGCCAGAGCGAGAAGAATCCTCAGTTTCAGGTAAGACCCCGACCGGCATCTACACGCTTCTGATTCAGTGCCAGGCCTGATAAGGAGCCAGTTTGGCTCGCAGGTCCTTGCAGGAATACAAATGTTTACGCTACATGCACTCCAAAGGGCTCAAGCCGAATCACGCAAACCCGAGAGTACACCAAGTGGGGCCTGAAGGGCCTCGAGATTCTGCTGAAGAGCCTGCAGGCCAACGGCAGAGATTTGCAAAGATCGAAACAGAACTGACAGCAGAAAGCGGAGCGCGGCCTGCTGCAGGCGCTCAAATTCTTCACCTGGAGCGCTTGCCTTGCATGGCTTGCTTTCCTCCCAGAAAGCTTGTGACTAAAATGCCAGCCCACATTTAGGAAGCGCTGCCACGGATTTCCCTGCCTCGGACGGAGTGCCCCCCACAGCATAGTCATCCTTGCCTGGCAGGCCAATCACTACAACCATGAGACAGCGGTCATGAAGATGCAGCTGCGCGTTTTGTCATCTTCGCGGTCTTACAACACTTCGTGCGGCTTGAAATGATATGACCGGTGCAGACGACTCTTGGGCGCCATTTCAATCTGAGGCATGGGCCATAGAAGGAAGTATAGGGAAACCTTAGCTGTAATTCAACGTCTCGACGCTTCTCGCCGACACTGCGTGTCGACGAGCGGCGCTGTGCGGTGTGCCGAGCGTAGTCAGAAGCCGACCCAGGACATTAGGCAAGAGACACGTGGCGTAAATGAAGTGCTGGCGGGAGGCCGTCGGTGAAGTCGCTCGGAGAAGAGCAGGGCACCCAGGGTCTCCTCCCCCTTCGATCAGCATGAGTGCTGTTCAATGCAAAGAGACCGTCCGACACTGCAAAACGTCTGAGGTAGGACATCTTCAAGCCTCCTCCTTGTTGGAGTCTTCCTGCAACAGACCTTAGCTTCCGTCTGGCCATTCTGCCTGCTGCTGCACTCTTTAAACGATCTAAGCTATGTCTGCCCAACCTGCATTTGCTCTCCTACCGGTAGGCTGAAGCAGATCCTCATTCCCCTTTGGGGAACGGACGAGCAGTTGCGATGCCTCCTGACGAAGCCTCCGTTGGCGTGAAGAATGTTTTCTGCAACTCTCCTAGAGCCAGTCCCTTACTCTTAGTTGCACACTGTGGCATCTCTTGCCATCCACCACGTCATCATCGCCTGCTTCTTGCAGGAACTGTAGTTTTAATCATCTGAAATATCTATATACGTAACGAATACACGTACATACACATATCCATATCAGAATGTGTGACAAAAAATGACATCACGGTTTCTTGCCAGGGCCTGGAGCTGGTCAGGATCTGAAGCCTCCAAAGCCGACCTGGCTCTCTGCCAGATCGTGTCATGCTGTACTTAGATCCTTTACATCCTGGCCTCATACGGCCCAACTCAATGCGAGCAGCTCGCTGCACTGCTCTGTCAACCTTGAGATCTGCACAAAAATTTACTGATGTAATGTTTCCCTGCCCCCTCCCCCTTAAACTGTCTTCCTTGCAGCACTTGAAATGCACTGCAAGAATATTGCAGTTTGGCACTGCAGAGGCAAATGCTGTGGGGTTCGGCATTGAAAGGGCTGGGCACTGCAGAGATACTGTGGGTCTGGGCACTGCAGGGATACATTGCCATGGGCACTGCCGGGACACCGTGGGGCTGGGCACTGCAGGGATACTCTATGCTGTTGAGCGCTGCAGGCATACTCTGCGGTTGCTGTTGGGCTCTGCAGGGATATTTGGTGGTCGGGCACTGCAGGGATATTTGATGGTTGGGCACTGCAGGGATACTTGGTGGTTGGGCACTGTAGGGATACTCTGCGGTTGGGAACTGCAGGGATACGTTGCCATTGAGCACTGCAGTCAGGCTTCACGCGGAGGGCGAGGACAACATAGACTTTTAAATTCAAACAACCCCACTGCGAGGGTGGGGAAAGAGGGCTTCTGAAAACTACACTTAGGTTCCGGCCTTCAGCCACAGCCTGAGCAAAGGCTGCTAAGGATGAAGAGGCCAATCATGGGGATGGCTGAGGCTCTGAGGCTGCGGCGGCTGCCTCGCTGTGGGCCGTCCAACCGCTGCCTCCATACGCCCAGCCCAGGCTGCCTCAGCTAACCGGAAACTAGCCAAGGCGAAGGACTTCTCTGGTAAAAAGCCTCTTTTTTTGTTGAGATGCTCGCACATGTGTCGCACATGAGTCGTAACTTTTCAGTGAGGCAGGTGCCTGGAAAGCCATCCTTTGAACATGCTGTTCAGGGAGTACTGTTTTCCCAGGCCCATACCATCACTTCATCGTCTCTAAGCAAGCGACCCTGGTCAAGGCAGGCACTAGCCTGCCACGCTTTCAGCCCTCTTCCAGGGCTCAAGTGCTCGCGGCTTCAGTCAGCTGAGGTGCCGAGGTACCATGCCCTCTCGCCCTCGCTACAACAAACCTAGCATGCGAATTATTCGCATTCCAAGGCTCTGCATGCAGCCCTTACAGAAAAAAGGGCTGCTAGAGCCTCAGAAGTAAGAAGAGAAGACGGGCACTTACCGCCACCACGCCGAGAGCGGAGGCACCACATTTTTCGTGTGCTCCTTGATGGAGGCTTCCCGGACTGCGGTTCCGTTCTCCTGGTAGCAACAGAAGACTTAATCACAACACTGGACACGTTAACAACGCTTGGCCTTGTTCGCGACAAAGACGTCTAAGTCGGACACCTTGACCTTGCACCACAGCTTGCCAATTTTTGCAAAACCTTGCGACTACTCTACAAATGCATGCCAAACCTGAGCCCTGCGCTGAATAGGGAAGGCGCTTCGACTCAAAAATCCGCTCGTGGATGGAGGATGCGGACCCGCCATCCTCACTTGAAAGCCCGTTCTAACCATAGTTCCTACATTGGCAGCCCTTGCAAAGTACCCGGCCATCTTAGCGACTGCGCTGACCACTTCTTCGCTGCTCTTGCCACTGATACCTTGACAGGTGGCAGCATGGGAAGTTGGTGCAGATGGTAGGTCCATGTCCCAGTGCAAAGGCGGCAAATCAGCGCTCTTGGGCTAGGGCTAGGAACAACCTCATACGTGATGCTCACCTCGCCACTTGCAGGTGCTTGCCGCCTGCGTGTCAGGGAAACTGGCAAGTGGTCCGAGTCTTTTGGATTAGCCATGGACATCTTGCCTTCGCACAATACCGTACCAAGACGCTGAGGAGATTTCTACACTAACCAGACAGGTGATTGACGAAACCCAAGACATGCACACATCACGCAAGTTCCCCGTGCTGACACGTACGAAGTGGGCCTAGCCATGGCTGAGGACTTCCTGCTCCTGCCCATCTCCAACATTGACGGTGAGTTTGCGGAGGCCTCAGCATATCTCAGCATCCGCAATCAGTCCTACCAGGTCCAGAAGCATCAAAAGGCTTGGAGCCGGGCTGAAGCAGGCTGCGCATCTTTGATGATGACTGCATCCTTATGCACATCTGTTGAGGTTAAAAAGAATCTGATGCGCCCTGCTGATGTGCCTATTCTTCACTTGGGGCCCTGGCATAATCGACACCGAGCTCTTCAGCAAGGGCGTCCTGATTGCCGGGTAGAGGCTGTGGATCTTTGCAGGCAGTTGATTGCAGTCTTGCTTGTGGGTGGGCACCGCCCTTTGCTTAGAGAGCAAGTTTTGCAGTGTCAAGCTGCAGTCTCAAGCTGAGAGCACGACTCGGACAGCCTCTAGCGCAGCCTCATCACGAATGAAGGCATCCGGGTCACTCACCTCGTGAATAGGCATCATGATGCTGATCCTCCGCCTGAAAAAATGAAGCATTTGCCGTGCCTCGAGGGTCTCACTGCCCTGGACTGCCTCAGGCTCCTGCCATGTACTCTAGATGGCATCAGCGCATTGCGTGATCACATCGCAGGACTTGCGGTCTTGGACGAGAAATGCCCTTAAGTAAGCCATGTCAGCACAACCATAGTCCGTTCGAGAAATTGGTGTGACTGCTTTGCATGTTCAGTTGTCGAGATGGTATGTAACGCTTTCAAGGATCCTTCTCTGCCATCTCCTCTGCTTGCTCTTCTGTCACGACCCTCAGTTCTAGCCAGGCTTCGGTGAGGCCACACGTTTGAGGAATCTGCACTTCCGACAAGAGCTTCCGACGGCCGATGCACTGTAAGTGGCAGTCGAAGGGTTCCGTTGTCCTGCAGGAAATGTGAGATATTTTGTAAGCAGGTTGTGCGCCCAAAGGCTCTACAGTTCAAGATGTCAGGTAGCGTCCAGCGTCTCGTTGCCGGCAGAAACAGTGTAAGCAACTGGCGCAGCTGCTGCCTGTTGCTGCTAACAGCAGCTACTCCGCAATATCTACATTTGAGTACTTAGCTTAGCTTGCAAATTGTTCACAAATCACTCCAAGGCAATGATACCCGAAATTCGATCAGGAGACTTCTGTGCCTTGAGTTGGAGATCAACATATGCCAACATCCAAAAAAATCAGGTTGGATGGGATGCAGGATTTGGGATCTCTTGACACTTGGACAAGATGATTTGCTATGAATGTAATCCATTCACTTTGATCAAAGAAAACGCAGGTTGCAAAGGCAAAAGCTCAATGTTGCACCCACTTTTGCAGAGGGGGTGGAATAATGTTTGTCCAAGTAAAGTATTCAGAATCTGAAATTATTCAGAATCTGCTATTGTTCGAGGGGGTCGGAATAATGAAAAATTTCGGGAAAATTCTGACCGAGTAGGGTTTGCTTTCGAGGCCTTTCAGGAGGGATTTTGATTCCAGGGCTCTCGCACCAAAGCCATTTCCTACAAGGCCTGAGAATAGAGCATCCGAAAATCCGTGAACTCAGAGACACCAACACCAGCTCCATGTAAACCGCTTTTTCAGAATTTGTATTGGGGGTCGGAATAAGAATAAACTTTTTCAGCCCCCTAAATTTTCACCGGGCTATCTACTGTTTTGAATTGATTTTAAACTGATTCCACTTAAGTTCTAATGGGCTTTAATTTCATTTGAATTAGTTTGCCATGGATTCCAATCGGATTTCAATTGATTTTGAATAGAAGTAATGATATTTTACGGCTTCCAAAATACGCTCATTTGGTTTTAGTTGATGAAAAATTTGATGTACATTGGTGTTACTTGAATCTTAAATTAAGTTTCATAATGGATTTGATTAGGTTTGAAATTGACTTATGGTTAGATTTCAAGTGATTTGAATGGGTTTCAGCTGGTGTTAATCAGGTTGTAATTGCACCTACTTAATTGGATTCTTATTTGTTTTGAATAGGTGTTCACTAAGAAGGTCGACTTATTTTGGGCCCAAGCGCGCTTCAGGATGTATGCTCAATGCTCCAGTGCAAACATGTGCTGGGAACTTCACTCCGCTCACGTTCTTGGCAGAGGAAGAAACCCACACAGAGACTACCTGCCGCAGTCTGCGCAGCAGCGCATCTGTCTCACACGAGTGTTTCTCAGGTGAAGACAGTCCCTCCTACGGTGCCACGTCCTTCCAGTGGCAGACGTAGTGTACAGGTCTATGCCATTGGGATCCGCACCTTGAAACTGCAGAAGATCGCGATTCAAGCGACCAATTGTCTCTATGTGTGAGTCGTGCAGGTGCCTCAGAACATGGAGTTCATCGTACACGGCTCGGTTGCTCTCCGTGAGCTCCCTGACCTGGTTCTCGAGGGTCCGGATGTGTTCCAGTGCCCAATTGGAGACCAACATGGCTCCATCATCTGCATGCCTGAGGGCTGCAGCATCAGTTTTCTGCAAAGGAGCAGGTAGAGCACTTGCCTGCACGTAGGCAACAGCGACGTCCGGACGGTCATCAGCGGCATCGTCGTAGTCCAGGTTTGCAGCATCCACGTCCATCGGAGAAAGCTCCTCGGCTGAGGACTCATCTTCCGTGACCTGGTTGTGAGCACGTTGCGGACACAGCCGTTGCCACCAGTATCGTGCAAAACCCCAGAGTAACCACTCAGTGGAGAGGACCAGAGCCACGAAAGTCAACAGCGACCGGTTGTCGTCGTCTTCAGAAAACCACGTAGGAGCTGAAATCGGAGTTGCCGTAGAGGATGACGACGTGCTAGTAGCGGCGGTCGCAGAGGAGCTCGTCACTGACAAAGTCGCCAGGAAGACGAAACATGTCGTCCGGGATGTAGAAGCCCGTGAGGCGCACCACAAGGAAGTAGCCAGAGTGCTCACTTCGCGGATTAGCTCCTTGTCGGAGAGATCCAGATGGTGCTCCTCAACTTGACGCACAAATGGCAGGGTGCGAAGCGTGATGGAGTGCTTCTCCTCATTGAAGAATGAGATGGTACCTGATGACAGCAACTGCATCATCGGCGGGCAACCATGCTCTTCGTGAGGGCGTCCGCAGTCATCGAGGCCGTGGGCACAAGCCCTATCCAGCGTAGACGTCGGGACATTCTAGCCTCGCGTAGGGCAAGGACATACAGTCGTTGTCCCTTGTCCTGTGTGATGCCCCTTTCGCCCGAAACCAACTCATAAAGATCTCGACAGTCGCCCAGATCGTCGATGGGCAGTTGACGAACTCCTCGCTCCTGAACAGCCAAGAGGGATTGGATGCTGGGTTTTGGCACACACAGCAGCTCAGCCAATCTCACCGTCACCAAGGAAGCCGCCTCGAGACCGGATATGGCGGCCAATGTTTCAGCGTGACTCGTGGAGTAGGAGACACGCTTTGCCTTCGCTCCATGAGCCCACAGCACGTGGACAGTTCCCCCGAGAAGACGGGCTTGGTCGTTGTCAAGCACGTGCTCGTACTCCTTGAGTTGCTGTAGCTTGTCCTCGGCCAAGACGACGAGGATGCCTTCTTGTGCATACTGACGGGAATTGGCAGCTGCTGAGCTGTCATGGATGCACATGACCCGAAGGGGACCCCGAAGCTTCCTGAACAGCAGTCCAAGGTTAGCCTCCACAGACTGAGCTCGTTTGACAGTGTTATTGGCCTGTCTGAGGTGTGCAACCTTCGCACGGGTCACTTGCGACTGCAGCAGGCACACCTCCGCAACCAAATCGAGACGGGTGGCTGTCACCTCGGAAGGGGTGAGGTCGTCTTGGTCCTTACGACCCGAAGGGATCACTGCCGGCTTGAGCTTCTTGCAGAAGTCATCTTGTGTCATCCGGAAGCCGTCGGGGATCTTGGAGTACTGCACCCCGCAGTGAACGAAGGGAAGGATCTGCCGGGTGACCTTGCCGAACTTCTCAACCAGAAGTTTGTGCTGCTGAGTCAGCCATTCATGCTTGGCCCCGGCGCCGCAGTCGTCGACATGGGTCGTCACGATTGCCTTCAGCTTGTCGCCTTCCTTCCAGTAGAAGAGGTTCTCATCCAGAAGACTCGCACGACCGCCCTGCTCCTCGAAGTGTCCGTGTAGACAAAGCTGCCAGGCCAGTGGAGCGTCGTTCAACCCATAGATAGGCTTGAGGCAGAAGAGGACATACTCGTGAGTCTTCGAAAGGTCGATGCGAAAGGCCGAGCTGAAGTTGCCAAGGTGCCTCCAAACGTTTGCCGGTGCCAACACAGCCACTCGTCGGACGGGAGTCGCGATGCCCTTGGTCTGAAGGATTTCGCGAACCTTGTCGAAGGACAGACCCTTGAGAAAGGCTCCACTCACGTCCCATGATTCGATCTCCCAGGAGGAGTTTGCGGCTGTGCTGAGCAGCATACGTTGAGATAGACGGGTTGCCGTAGTCGACCTGGTAGAGAGCAGTTCCTTTTGGCTGTCAAAACAGCCACGGGCACAAAGCCGGCTCTTCACGCGCCGGTCGCCTGCCGGCACGCGCTTCCACTTCCTAATCCAAACTGAGTCGATCAGGACTGTCTCCGCAGTCAACGAATTGATGTGCATTTTCCGGAAGCTGCACGTGTCCACAAACTGCTTTATTTCGGCAGCATCGGACTCCTCCACCAGTGGCCAGATGCTGTATACCTCATCTTCAGCGATGTTGTCAACATCGTCGTCTGTTTTGTACACTTCGCCGTACAGAAGGTCGGCAAACACAGTCTCCTGGTGCTTGCCAGGCCAGACGAACAGATGATTATGGGTCACGAACTCCTTCTTGACCTCTGCAAACGTACGGCTCATGTAGATATCCCACTGGGCCATGGCAAAGTGGTTGTCGGGAGCTTGCCAGCTTGAAGGAAAGTCCAGTGGCACCTTCTGGGTGCGGCGCATGAGCCAATAGAGGTTGATGAGGTTGTGCTGAGTCTGACTGACCACCTTTTCAGAGAAAAGGTACTCCACCAGGTTTTCCAGCTTGCTCTTCTTGGCCTCTGGACCAATAGTGACCATTCGGGTTTAGAAGGAGGAGCAGCCGTTGCCTCGTCCACATCCATGGACGTGCCTGTCGAAGAGCTGACCTGAGCTGGAAGCTTCTCGGCTGAATCCACATCCATAGGCTGTGCCAAGTCCAGAGCGCCTTCAGAAGGGACCACCTTAAGCTTGGAGGCTGGCTCATACGCCACGTTGACATAGTAGAAGACATAGATGAACGCAAGCTGGTCGAGGTCGTGGACAGTCACCTTCTTCATGGCCAGAGGGGAGTCATCGTTGTGCTCTTGACTGCCATATCCTTCTTGTCCTTGACGCCAGAACAGGAGAACTCCAGAGGATCCTCTTGGTGGATGAAGCACTCGCACTCCCTGGCCAAGCATGGCACCGCCAACGTTGTGGTTCGAAAGTGCCTTGCCCAAAGACACTATCTTCGACCATGCGTCCGAGTAGGAAAGAGAACTCGAAGATGCTCGACGCCGCGAAATACAGTGGTTGGATGTCTCAGGAACCCATCCGATGGTCACTGCCTTGTATGGTGAAAGCTTGAGGGCCATCGCTTGGAGCCATTGGAAGTCCGTGGACTGTTGGCTGTCCATGACCAGGAAGACCCCAGGTGTGTGTGGCCTAATGTGCCGTAAGCTCACCAAGTACGGTCGTCCCTGGTACGTGAGGATTGCCGCGCCTTCATCCTTGTCCAGTCGAAGCAGAGTGGCCGGTCCGCGCCAGCCCACATCGCCCTGAACCTCGCGGTAGAAGTCAATGGTGGTAGTGCCTGGGATCAGGGCGTTTGTGTCCAGCTGGTGTGTCCTGGTGCGTCCGGCTCGGGCTATCCTGTCCTCTGCCACAGCACGTTGCACCATGGAAAGCGAAAGCTGTCGGATTCGGAGGGCCTTCTCAAAGGGAGTGATGTCGGTCTGAAGAACCCCGGCCACGGACGTAATGTTGCTGCTGTCCTATAAAATGGCCGAGGGAGAACTCCGAAGACAGCCATGGATGGCGTGGCTCCGTTGTAGTTTAGACTTTGGTTATGTGACATCGCGGACTCCTTGGCCAGCTCACCTGGTGTCAGACGAAGTCCCTGACGGTCAAGTTCGGCAGCCAACTTGAGCATCGTGATCTCCACCAATGCAATGTGCCTTTCCACTAATCCTGTCCCAGTATGTTGCTTACCTGCTGCGCCGGAGGTCGTGCCCTTTGGCACTCGCTCTATCGAAAATCTCTCCAGTTCTCGACCTGCAGCATGACTCATGAGGCTGGACTCTTGATCTAGCACAATTTGGTGAGGAGGGCCGAACACCACAAACCATGAGTCCAGCATCTTGGACAGCAAATGGCCATACTCGCGACTCTCAACGTCAGTAGCCGCCTTGAACCGCGTAGCCTCGTCCACCAAGAGAAGGATCCACACTTCTTGATATTGAAAGAGATCAAGCTGAACTCGTTGGTTGAAAGTTCCAGCGTGAGATCCTATCTTGACCTGTGGACGGTTGGGCATGCGGACGTACTTCCGACAAATGCTGCAGCTCATGACCGCTTCTTCAGCCAACGGCAGGATGTCAGAGGAGAGGCCAGCACGCAGCAGCATGTTTTTAAAATCACCGATCGGGCAGTGGTAGAAGCGCTCGCGCAGACCCAACAAGAGCCGCTTGGCCATTTGCGGATCCTTAGCCACGATGTCGCTCTGCAGCCTCTTGTAAACCTTTTTGAAGTCGAAGAGGGGTTTGAGCACCTTCTCTTCTTCGTCCGGTCGAACTGCTTTGAACTCTTCTTCCTCCGCATGCTCAGTTTCCTCTTCCATGGCTCCATCTTCGTTCCAGGGACGTATATCATCTTCTGGCGCCGTTGCCTCCGCTGGTGGCGAAGATGACTGCCGTGGAGCAGTAGAGGAGGAAGATACCGCCTGCCCATCCTTTTTCCTTTCGACCGGAACGGCTGCTGCAGAGGAACGACCATCAGCGCGATCCACACGAGTATCTGAAGGCTCATAGCCAAAGACGTGAACATGCCAATCAGCTTCCTCTACGGAAGCGTGCAGCTGAGAGTGGGACATGAGACGCATATCCTCAGGAGCCTGCACATGCCAAGACTTAAGACTGCCACGGATGAGCTGCCGAATTGGAGCGCAGGAGGAGGAAAGATAAGGATCAGGAACCTTGCGTCGCCACGGCCGCAATGAACAAAGAACACCCAGAACGTTGAGCCCCGGCGCAAAGATGTCCTGAAAAACACGCAGCAGAACCGGGTCATCGAGCCAATGGTCATAGTCGCTGCCATTGGCCTCTGAAAAGACGCCGATGCAGGACTGGATGAGCTGAACCAAGGCGGCCTTGAGGTACAAGCGCTCCTCGGGCGCGAAGCGGACAGAAGTGTCCAGAGCCAAGGCAATCATGCTGTAGTCACCACTTCGAGCTAGCAGCTTGAAAGGACCAGTCGGATCCTCCAGATCACTCACGCGCAGACGTGGTGGTTGTGCTGAAGGTGTTGCAGGAGTCGCAGGAGAAGCAGGTGGTTGCGCAGGAGGTGGCTCGCGTGCTGCACGAATGGCCGGCTGGCCCATGCGACATTCTCCAGGAACAAAGGTATGCTCAATGTGAGCCGGGCAGCCGCGACCAAGCTGACAGCGTTGGCAAGAGTACAAGAGCTCACGCAGCCAAAACAAGGAGCGCGGCCATGACTGCCGTGACGCAGCACCATCGGCCCGGAGAAGAGCCCAAAGATCCTGGCCGAGCGCATGGCACAACCGCTTGGGATAGACCGCTGCCAAAGCTGTACGGTTGCTGCCATTCCAGCGGCCTTGGAGCAGGCCATGACCTCGCCCTTTATGGCCATTGCAGCGCTTGCGGATGTGCTTCCAACTGCGATTGCTTAGGAGCCCCGTGGCCTTCTGCACAGGTCTTCCAGTCTCGTCTTGAGCACCCAGCATGCATTGATCAAATCGTTGAAGACGAACACCTTCATGATCCAGAAGCCTGGCCATCGGACTGGATTTAAACATGTCTGAACCGAAAGGTTGTTCAGCAGTAAAAGCTCGACCTTGATCGTGTTGCCACAGCATGACGTCACTCAGAAATTCCAAGGTGGGCAACTCACGATTGCGATCATCCAATCGCTTAGCAGAGTCCTTGTTTGCTGAAGCAACTGACCAGGGTCCACAGCTAGGTGCGCCAAAGAGCATGTCCGGCTTGAACTCCACCAGGCATTCACGTAGTAGACGCTGGTGAGGAGGATGAGCCAGATCCCAGCCATAACGGTAGTCGACCGGGAAGCCCACGATAAAGTTGGCCATCAGCAAGAGAAGACTGAGTCGTCCAGAGCCGGAACACCACTCCCAAAACTGGAAGCGAAGACCACGGTCTTTGGCAGAAGCCATCCATGATTTCACATTCCCTGGTGTGATCGGCCTTCGTCCTGTCTTGGTGTAGAACTCCTCCGGCATGGCCTTGTAGTACTTCTTGGACTGCTCCTTGCGGTCGTTGTCCCAGTGATCAGGAAAACAGTCTCCATCATAGCTTGGAAAGAGGTCTGGTGCCAAGGAGGTCGCCATTGCGGAAGCAGTTGACGTAGGAGTCGCAGGAGCCGGTTCAAGCTTGACCGGGTTGATCTTGATGCGGGTGCGACCGGTCCACAGATATGATAGATCCCTGTTGGGATTCGAGGAGTTGAGCCAGTCATCTTCCAGAATGCGAGTCAGACCCTTTTGCCGCACCGGCCTGAGCTCTGTGACACGCGATCCCAACACTCGATCCTCAGAGATGGGGCAGTCGAGGGCACACTTCGGACTGAAAAGAATGCGACGTGGTACTCGATGGTGACGAATCAAGTAGTTGCCCTCGATGGTCCAGGTATCACACGGAAAGATGCCCTTGTCATTCAAAAACGGCTTCTGGGAAGAGTCATTGGTCGCCTGATCCATTATCTGGAGATGCCCCATCCTGATGATGCACGTGGTCTCTGGCCCGGAGTCTGGAGATGTGATCGATGC